TTCGTGTATTAGAATTATCGCGACGTTATGGAATGAAAAAAGCTTTTTATCAATCACATTATTATTTATCAAAATATTTTAATCAATGTATTAATATGAAAAATTTTCTTCAATTACCATATACAACTATTTCAAATATATTAGCTGATGAAACAATACTAAATCGAGATGAAACTATTGTTTTAAGTCGAATTTTAAATTGGATTACATCAAATCATGTAGAAAATAATCAAATCATTATGAATTTATTTAAAAGAATTCGATGGAATAAATTAGATTACGAACAACAAAGAGAATGGTTAGCTGCAAGTCATGAATTAGCTGAAAACACTAAATTAACATTATTTATTAAAGAACAAATGATGTATGTTATACTTAAATTTATTATTAATACCAATTAATTGAACTTTGTGCTAAGACTAGGATGTGGATACCCTCAGTGCTTTATCTAGTGGGCGAGCGGAGCCAGGGAGAGTCAGCCGCTCTCTCCCCCCCCCCCCCTACGAAAATTTATCAAATCCGGTTTTCTGGAGATCAGGGCCAACCCTGAAGAGGAGTACAGTTTTTTTGTGGTCATTATGAGATTTTTTGTAACGATATCCAGCTTTGACATGTAAATCACACTTCTGGTTGGCTTCAAAAAAGCATTTTCTAGGATGGACTGAACGGAGGGAGGTTGAGTCCCCTCCCCCTAGCTCAAAATCCTGGCTTCGCCACTGGCGGTACCCATGCGACGTTTCGATTCGTACACCCGAAAAAAGAAACCTAGATGTTTCTCTACACTCACTCTCAATCAAAATTTGTTTAGCACATCTAGATATCTGTTAAAAGATTTTAATATTTTAGTCTTGCTTATGAAAAATCAAAACATCGTTCAAGTTCAACATCAAAAACAACTGAACAAAAATTAAATTTAGATAATTCTAGTACTCGTCAAACAAGTCGAAATAAGCATCGTTCTTAATTTCGCTTTTCTCTCTCTCTCTCATGTAATTCTATGTTTTATATCTTAATCTTCATATTTTATTTAAAAAAAAAGCTTTATGTTTTGTATAAATTTTCATCTGAAATAAAATAAATAATGACACAAAAAAAAATAGAAATCAATAATGAAATGAAGACATGCTTAAGCCGCAGAATAAAATAAATAATAAACAGATTAACGAAATATCATAACTACTAATCAAGAAACTGAACTTATATCTATATATAAATATTCTAATTCGTATCTTCTATAGGTGAATTTGATTGTATATCATTGGAATTAGTTGGTAATAATGGTGAATGAGATCTTGATATAACAATATTATCATCTGTATTACTAAGTAAATTGTTGTTACGTGATGTACGTAAACGTTCATTCTCTCGTTGTAAAACATCACTTCGTGTACGTTCTTTTTCGTAATCATCACGTGCATTACGAAGCTAAAATAAATCAACATAAAATAAGAATTAGTATATAGATAACAGTAATAATAATAATAATAATGATTCTATGCTGTTTAGTTTTTAAAATGAGAAAAAAAACAAAATTTACCTCTCGTTGTAATGCTCGTCGTTCTTGTTTAAGTTCCTCTTCAACACGTTCACCATCATCTAGTTGTTGCTTATAACGTGCAAGTTGAGCTTCATAACGTTTATTCTAAAAATAATAAGATTTAGTTGTATAATGCTCTTATTAAGTTTTCGATTATGAACGTGATTAGTTTCAAAATCAAAGATAGGTGGGTATTTTTTTCAATAACTTTCGATAGGAACAAGACAAGTTGAAACATATATGAAAAGATTCCTCTAACTGCTTTTTTTGTAGGAAAAATGGAGTAGTAAAATTGTATTTTGATGACTAAAATATCTTATTAGTAGTAATCAAAAATTAAATTCTTCCATATTTTTGCAGCTCATTCTCTGACAGTTCTCAACAACCAATAAATTCGTAAGCTTCGATGCGATTTCATCGCCATCTTGTCCCTGCCAAAAGTCATTCAAAAATTTCCACTCGCCTTTTATTTTCATATTTCTCATAGATATATACTGATCTGATAAATAATTAATAAACACATCAAACATCTTACTTCTTGTTGTAATGAACCATTATCAGTATCTAATCGTTGTAATCGATTTTCCAAATTCATTATTTCTTTCATTAACTGTTCTGTATGAACAAAAAAAAAACATAAACATATTTTATATTTTAAATTCAAAAAAATTACTTTGTTGTTCGGAATCACATTCATCATTCATATTTTGATTATGTAATTCAAGTGAATCTGATCTCGATTCTGTTAATACTCTTAAACGAGTTTTTTCTTCATCTAATTCAGATTTTAATTTAAGTAGTTCATCATATTGTTCATGTTTTTCATTTAAAATTCTTTTGAATTTTTCATCAATTGAGCCATTAGCAAATGAATTAAGTAATATTAATGTTTCTCGTGAATTACTCTCAGTTGGTGAAACAGTTGAAAATTTTTGAACGTCATATTCCTACAAAGAGAAATTTATTATATAGAAAAAAATCCGTTTTAAAATTTATTATTTTACTTCAATCAATTTTTCACAATTAGTTAAGATTTCTACAGTTTTATTATAATCTTGTTGAAGATCATTTAATGTTCGTTTTTGTAGATCAAACTCCTTTTATTAAGAAAAAACAAACATATGATTTAATTGATTTAGGAATGGATTTTACTCGAGATTTTTCTTTCAATTGTCTTTTAGCTTGATTAGATGTTTCACAATATTCCTCTAATAAATCTTTATAATTATCAATTTGATAATGTAATGATTGTTTTTCATTGTACATGCTTGAATTAGTTATCATTAATATTTTATATTTTGATTCAAGTTCACTTAATAAACGCTATGTAATTGAAAAAAAAAGAAATTTCAATAAAATAATATTCGATGAAATAAATAAACAAACTCTTAAATCACGTTGTTCAATTGTACGAAGATCAATATCACCATTGAGAAATTTTTGAAGTAATAAAGTATTTGTATTTATTCCTATTGTAGGATTTATATTAATTGTTGTAGACTACATACAAATGATTTTTATTTTTTTTATTAAAATTTTCGTTTTGACATTTTACTTTCGTTGATTCGATAGGTGTTGATGATGCATGCGAACTTGTTGGTGAATCATCATCATCATTCTAAAAGAGAGATTAAGTTTCATGTATGATTCAATAAAAGAGAGCAAATCATTACATCTTGAGCATTTTTTTCTAATTCTTTATGTCGAATTTGACGTGCTTCACGATTTTGTTCACGTTGACGATAGAGACGAAGTTCAGCCTTAAAGAATATCGAAATCAATAATGACAAAAATAAATGATAGATACAAACTTCTTTGGCAATAGCATCAAGTGCTTCTTCTTCAGCAAATGATGCATCATTTTGATCATAAACTTTCGTTGGTGTCGTAACACTCGTTGATTCTCGATATCGACTCACTGTTGAAGAACTCATTACATTCCTTTTATCTCAAACAAAAAAGAAAACATAAAAACAAATCAAAGTCTAATAAAAGAAAAAAATTCTTTTATCATAATAACATTCAATGAAATATATATGTCAGTAATGATAACAAGTAAAGAAAAGAAGAAATAGTTTGTATTTTACAGAATTTAAATCATTTTATTGGAGAAAGATAGAACCATTATAACATTTAATAGATTTGAAAGACTTCTTTTATGAATATCTGAACACAATTTCAAAAGAACTATACTGTACAAAGAAAAACCCAATTTGATATATATTCGATATATTACAATAGATGTCATTAGTTGGTGATTAAGTCAAGTCAATTTTCTAAAAATAATAATTAAATTATACAATATCTATCGTTTCTAATATCACCTTTGTAATATATATTTGTTTATTTATCGTATGCTATTATATTTATATTAGTTATTATATTATATAAACCTTCATTTCATAAAAAAAAAGAAAGTAATGCTTTAGGGAACATGTCAATTGAAAGAAAAACCTTGTCCTAATTGTCATCTCAATATTTTTCATTCTCTAATAATTTGAAGAGCAAGGTAAAATCATCTATAAAAACGTCTTTCTTTTCTTTCATGTATCGATCACGTCGGCCATATGGTTATAGACGACGTTATCCATACTTAGGTCAAGATCGACGACAATTACCTTTTAAAGAAATATTTTGGCGTCTATCATGGCCATATTTATATACATTAGTATTAGCATCATTGATGATTTTATTAACTATAATCATATTTATTCTTGAGATTATTAATTTTTTAAATAATGATAGATCGAATAATCTATCTAATATTACAATAATAGGAGCAAAACTTTCATGTTCAATATTCTTCCTAATTCCTGCTGTTTTTATGTATCTTCTTGGTAATATTTGAAATAATTTTTTTGATAATAATTATCTATTTATTTTTTAGTATTAGTTTTTGATAGTTCTCGTATTTGGTCAATTTATACACTTATAGCAAATTTAATTGCATTGATATCTATCTGTATTTTAATTGTCGTAGATATATATGAAATGACACCATCTAATACAATCACATCAACCAAAATCAAAATTCTTAAAATTCAATTAGCTGCAGCAATATTAATGTTCTTTTTTCCATTCGGATTTTTAGCTGCTTATATTTATACAGTATTTGTAACACTTTTTCCTCTTCATTCCTATACACATTTAGTTTATCCAACTTTTTCTACTCTACCAATGTTTGCTACATATTGATTTTTATATTTAAAATAAAAGAGTATACGGTTACAATCAAGTTTCGTATCTTTTCGATTAGATATTTTATTTAAGAAAAATAAAATAAAGAAATCACTTGATATTATATCTTGTACTCAATAATACATTGTTGTTTATTTGTTATGTAAATTATATTTGTAATCTCTATTATAATATATATACAAATATCAACTTGTTATTTTAATCCGATGGTATTTAATGTAAAGATTTTTACGCATAAACACATTTATTTTTCAAATACTTAATCATGTTTAAATTTGCAATTTATTTTTGTCTCTTACCAATACTATTAACAATATGTTCGTATATTCCACCTAAAATAACTATTCAACGTTTATCAAAACAACCAATTATATCTTATTGGTCTAATCAATCACAATTTCGATTTAATTATAATAGTGCTTTTCTTCCATTACCTGATGGTAGTATTGCTCTTGTTGTTCGTGTACAAGATTTATTACCAAATGCTACATCAAATTATGATGTTGGTCCATCAAAATTAGCTATTGTACGTCAATTAAAAAATAGTCTTACTAAATATGAATATGTACATAGTGAACAGATTATCATTGATTCTGATGATCGTCCTTATCAAGTTGCAGGTGTTGAAGATCCTCGAATTACAATTGTAAATGGTACTTATTATTTATATTATACAGCAGTTTATTGGACTCCTTCACATGAATGGAGTGCACATGCTGCATTAGCTACTTGTCAATCAGGTAAAGATCCAACAAAAAAAGAAAATTGGATTTTACATCCAGCATTATTTCCTGAATTATCATGGAGTAAAGCAGCAACATTACTTATTCATAATGCTACACATCAATATGTTTTTTTTAATGAATCTAA